AATAACAGAGACACAAATCATGCAGACTTCAAGGAGCTTTAATTGATATACTAGAATGTGACGGGCATGAATCACTCAGCCATTCAACAGCACTGTAACATATGGTCAGCTCAATATGCTGCATCTTAAATCGGTTGGTGAGTTGTTGGTTGTCCCATATGGTGGAAGCAATATATTTTTAAGGACTTTTTTATATAAAAAGACACCATCACATTTACTTTTTTTTAAAAAAATGATTCAATATGCTCATAATAAGGTGAATTCTTAAAACTTGTTGTGTATGTTTTAAGGCATACTATATACTGTAAACAGATTTTCTGAAAGAGTTGATTAAAAGGTTGCAGTTTTCAATGGAAACATGTAGTTTTAATCATTCTATTTTTTATTATACCGAACATATATATCTTACTAGACCCCAGTTCCTTGCCAGTGCTTTATCCAAAGTGACCTGAGCCTTCTCTACTAGAAGAAGTTGTATCATGAAGGAGTTCCAGAAAGAAGAAGTAACAAGGAACACATACTTACCAGAGGTGGTATTCTGACCAGTTCTGGATAACTGGTAGCAGAAATTTTAAGTAGTTCAGAGAACCGATAAATACCACCTCTGTCTGGCCCCTCCCCCATCTATTCCCTGCTTCTTGAATCCCAGCTGATCAGGAGGAAATGGGGATTTTACAGTAACCTTCCTGGAGTGGGGTGGAAATTGAGATTTTACAGTATCTTTCCCCTGCCATGCCCACAGAACTGGTAGTAAAAAAAAATTGAATCCCACCACTGATACTTTCCATGGTAGGAATCTCATTTTACCACCTACATCAGTCTTTCTCAAATTCGGTAATTTTAAAATGTCTGGGATTTCAACTCCCAGAACTCTCCAGGCTGGATGGAAAGTTCTGGGAGTTGAAGTCCGTACATCTTAAAGTTGCTGAGGTTTAGAAAGACTGATCTAGATGTCTAAGCACAGCTGCAAAAATTTGACTTACTAGAGACTACCATATATAGATGCCTTTCACTCCTATGACATTTTTATGATTGCTTATTGTTGGGTTTCAGCATTTATGTTAGCATTTTATTATGGTCTTTCAATTTATTTTGGTTTTTCTTTTTATATTCTTCATTGTTTTAAATCATTCCATTAAATTTAAATATACTATTAGACTGTTGTATCTTGAATAGGGTACAACCACAGTTTCAGATTAAGGGAAGAGGTTTCTTTTCAAGTGAAATCTGTTAAATCTGGGTCCTTTAAATTGATGGTTTCCTGGAAATGCACAGAGGACTCCATTGCTGACTAATGTTTCCTTGTCTGAAGTGCTGAACCCAATCTATACAGTCAGGCCTAATGATCAACCTCGCTAGGTTAATGTGAAGTCAGCTGGGATGATGGAGACCTTACATTGCTGAAAACATTCCTGGGATATAACAATAGTCAAGTCTCTCAAGTGAATGAGTGATCTTCCACTCTCTGGGCAAGCCTCCAATTACACATTTGCTTACAAAGTGAAATTGTGCATGAGACACAAATGCTGTTTTTTAAAAATGGATAACCCTACATGTCACTATTCAAAAGGTTGAAATTATAATGAGCAGTTGGCAAAGCATAAATGAGACTGTATCTTCATGAATGTTACTCACGGTTCTACTAGAAATGTAGCTATTTAGAAATGTGATGAAAGGGGAAACCTTAAGAAGCATATTTTTTGAGATAAAGCCAAGAGCACTAAGTGCTACCTGTATAATATTTCACTGAGGGGGTTCCTTTTAGTATAAATGCATGAAAGAAAAGTAGACCAGTAAAGGTTTAGTAACTGTAATACAGATGCATTTTTATTAGCTTTAAAACCTGACATGCTATAGGAAAGCTTTAGCAGCTGCATTAGTAAACCTGACAGATTTGCGAAAGAATTCACTATCCTTAGAAGCACGGTTGCCAGAATTTAATGTCAACAATTAAAATTTATTTTGATCCTCACCTAGTGTTTATTACTGTTTGTATACACAACAGACCTTACTAATACAGTGATGCACTATTAGATGGAATTACCATCTGTTCACAGTGAAATGTTGGCATCTGTCTTAGTTTCTAAAGCTAAAATGATATTGGTTCAAACAAAGCAAAGTTAACTGCTCTTTACTTATCAACAATTATATTTTTCTTTCATGCATGCAGATATAATGTGCTCACACAGAGACTTGCACACAAACATATTCATAGAAGACTTTATCTTTTTTTTAATAGTAAGCTATAAAATTATATCTGTACTTGATGTATTGTTAATAGGGAACTGTATGGATTGTCTGTTCTTTTGATTTTTGAGGGAATTCTCTTGTAATTCTAGACAGTGTAATAAGTTTTTAACGTTTGAATGCTTTAGTTGGTATTTTATATATTTTACTGAAGAAATTTTAGAAACCTGATATACTTAAAATATGCAAAATACAATTCAGTCTTTTAAAACAAAGAATGCTTTTATAGATGTATTTTAAAAGACCAGAATAAATTTACAATAAATAAATAAAACGATAATTCCAACAGGTATTAGTCATAACTTTAAGAAGCATATATTGTGGCTGCTAGATTCTATTATATATTGCATAAACGGTGATATGGAGATATATGCTATTTATTATCTAAAGGTCCCCCCCCCTTCACATACATGTGATTTGTTGATGTGTAAATTTCAGAAGAATTCTTCATGTTAGAGCACAAACATTGTGAATCATCAAAATATGGTGTTTACAATTCTAATCTTCAACTAAAGGTGTTGCATTCTGAAATATTAATTTTCTATTTCATATATTATGAAATGCTACTACTATTAAATAGAGCAATGCTACTATTTAATATATGTACCATAGTGTACTAACTGTAACTAGTACATTTATTTTTGCTGGAGTAGACTTGAAAATGATTAAAAAATCAATATTTTCCTGTCAAGGAAGTAAATGTTACAATGCATTTAAATAATTGTGTGCGCAAGTGCAATAAAAGCTTCAAATTTGGATAGGAAAGATGCTATAATTACAGTATAAGCCTCTCCAATTTATTATTAGAATATATTTATGGAAGATTTGCCGTTTGTTCTAAAGATGGCTATGTGTATTCATTTTAGGCAATAATAAATTTTACAGCTTCTGTTTTTAGTAGTTAAAAGCTGAATTGGGATATTAAATCGTGGCAGTTGCATCCAAAGTGCTGACATAGCTGAATAACTCTAAAGGTGAAATTTCAATTGTAAAGCCCATGTTTTCTTTCGAAACCTGTGCAGTAATGCTGCATTTCATTAATGCTCAGTGCTACTTATGTGGGAAGGCTTGTAATCTCATATGCCAGAACTTCAAATTTCAACACAGTAAATTTTGACCAAAGCAGTATGTTACTAATTAGATTATGAAGTCATAAATGATATCTGAACAAGAATTTATAATGCATAGCTTGGCTAGTAATTTTTTGACTCCCATCTTTTCCTTTATCTTAAAGTAACCTTTCTTCACCCTGCATAAAAAGCAATAGCAGTACATTAGATGTTCATATAAAAATGCAAAAAAATATGTTTATAGTTTTATATATCAAACACTTTAAAGATGCATTATTAATTTATTATGAACAAAGATCTTGCTGTTAACTCTTAGCACAATGCCCTGAATGAATTTACAGGATTCATATTTTACTTCATATTCTCTAAATGAATTATGTGCTGTATGATAACAGAAGTATCTGACTTTGATATATGTGGCATAGTTTAAGATTCCTCATGCAGAAAACACGACTGTAGAGTAAATTTACAAAGTAATACTTGCTTGGAATTCACAATGGAACAACGTATTTTATATCTGCAAGGAGCATAATACTTTCAATAGGTAAAGTGCTATTGTATGTTGCAATTAACCACCTAATTGTCAGCATAATGTGCCACACCCTTTGAAGAAAGCTTCAATCTGTTTGTAAGTCTTGAAAGGCGATTGCATAAAGAATGTGACTAACAACAAGTATGTTTATATAACATGTAAAAAAAATCTGCCAAAATAGGAAAATACTTTGTTCTTTTATCAAACTCATACTGCACACGCTTTCCAGACAATTAACAGACAAAGCACATTAATAAAATATTCCAGACATAGCACAATTTTTTAAATAACATGCATATATGCATGTACATGCAAAAGTATTATGTGGTATGCAGACAAATGATCTTTGCCAGACCAGTTGCCATCAGAGTACCATGTGAAAAGTTATCCATCGGATCTGAGGTTAGATTTTCAATTTCCCACATTAGTGTTTATTCATCATCATGACTGCAGATAATGGGATTTGCCTTTTATGGAGATGAAGATCTGTGCAAGTCTTATAGAACTTTTCATTTTAGCCAAGTTATATGTGCGTGCCTATCTGAAAGATTGACAAATGCTAGGTATTCATAGTATTTTGCATATATAAAGGATTCTTATGGTGAAGTTTCTATCTTCAGAATTCATGTATATTTGCTCAATTGCTTTGTATTACTATTATTCAATTTAAGATAGCACTATTGTGTTCTAACAAAGGAATAAATAAAATCAATGTCAAGTCAATAAACATCTCATATTTGCGAGTCTTTTCTGCCAATATCATTGTATATTCTGATTCAAAGGAATTATTTGAATTTATACCATAATGTTTGCATTGTTTTTATGATATTAATGTGAAAATACTCTGCAAATAGTAAAAGAAAACGCTAGGAATGCTGGTCAGTCAAACAAGGAATTGGCAGATCATATTTTTTCATTTCTAACAATTTAAATATTATTATGTACAGTGGTATGATTGTATAAAAATCTAAGGGAGTTTGCAAGCTATATTATGAATAGTTACTTTGGTTACACTTTTTATTAAAGATTTATAAAATATAAGAAACAAAGCATTAAACTTTTTTGTTCTTTCTTTCTTTCTTTCTTTCTTTCTTTCTTTCTTTCTTTCTTTCTTTCTTTCTTTCTTTCTTTCTTTCTTTCTTTCGAAATAGCTCCAGTTCTGCTAATAGCACCCGACACTGAAGGAATAAACAGTTCTGTAATAAAGATAACTTGGTATGAGCCTGAAGAACTTAATGGACCTCCTCCAATTTATCAGCTGGAAAGAATAGATATATCTTTAGCAACATCAGATGTAAATGTAAAAAAAGGCATTCGTTTTCCAGGAAATGGATATTACAAGTTTCCAAATTCTATTTTGCCTGCAGACACCTATTTTACAGGTAAGGAAATTTCATTCATTCATTCATTCATTCATTCATTCATTCATTCATTCATTCATTCATTCATTCTATCTAGCTATCTAGCTATCTAGCTATCTAGCTATCTAGCTATCTAGCTATCTAGCTATCTAGCTATCTAGCTATTTTTATAGACACCCATCTCAGTCAATGACTTTCGGCAGGATATAATTCAAAACTATATTATAATCAAACTATTAAAACATTTTTTAAAAATAAAAACTATAAAAACATCCAAATAAATAAATATATATAGCAGCCCAGATACTTGGCCAGTTATCAATACAGCCAGGAAATGGGGCTATTGACACATTCAGTGCCTCAAGATCAGGAACATAGCCAGGTTTTTAGGGTTTATAAAAGGCTTACAGGATTGGGACCATTATACCCTCCAAAGAGGATATTCCCTAATTCCCAGCCACTGTGGAAAAAGCCCATTTTCTAGACCCTGCCAGCTGAACACTCTTTGACTGATGAGATCTACAGCATGTCCATTCTACTATATCTGGTTGGACAGGTAGAGACTCTTTGAAAAAGGAGATCCCTCAGGTGCCCTGGCCCCAAGCCATAGTCTACACTATGTTTACTTCAAAACACTTTAGAGTACATTCTGATGGACATTTTCTTTGGATGGATTTCCTCTGGATTTGCTATTTTACTTTTCAGAGTTTTGCTACATAAATCAATATTGTTCTTTAAAAGGCCACTCTTCAGAATTTTTTTTCCTGTATCTTAATTTGTAGTGTGAGAAAATATGGCATTATTTATTTACCAAAAAAAGCAAGTATTCTTCATCAGGTGACCTTTAATTGCATATTATATTTTTGTAAGTTTACACTGCAGCTCAGTTGGAAAGGGATTTGGGGAATTTTTGCACATCAGTGTTCAGGGACACACTTGTTTCTACTTCTGTCCCTGCAGGCACCTCTCAAGTCAATATTTTATTCTTTTGGCAGAATACTGGAAATCTACTTAGCCTGGCACAAATTTCTCTTTTTTTCTACATGTTGATTGTATTTCATGGATCATAGGAATTATATAATGCCTATCTTTAATTGGATTTGAGAGGGTTGCATGCTGATTTCAACAGCTTTGAAATGTATACTTTACATACTTAAAGGATCTTACCACATGCTGATGTTTCAGCGTCATTCCTTAGGGAGTTCAGTATTAGATTATATGAAATATTACATGAAGATTCTATTAAACCCTTTCCCATTCTGTCAGAAAAAGGATGTCTCAACTGGGCTAAGTATAGAAACACATTTAAGTGGCCATCCTATCCTCTCTTATCTGAAACTAAGTCCCACAGAACAGAACATGAATCAACATGCAAATGATTGAACAATTCATTTCTGAAAAGTCTTTGTTTTTAATCAAAAGTCATCTTTCTAAAAGCAAAAGTGTATTTCATGATTCTCTGCACATCACATTTCCTAACTAGTAAACACATCCTCATCTCAGCCATACCTCCCAAACCAACCTACGTCCTCTTGTTATTAAACCTGATAAAGTTAAATTTCAGAGTTATTTTGGTCTGCAGTGTTCTTTGTTAATGAGGAACTCAAAATTGCTTCTTTGAGTCAAAGCTTTTCTACTTATTTATAAGAGCATCATACTCTTTCAATTGCCATTATTATGAATTTGAGAATCACACATACAATCCCCCCTTCATGTTATGCAATGCCTAAGAACCACAGTACAATTGATTAGTATTTTGAGTAAAATTTATGTCATCCTTAGGTTCTTTCATGTTCTTACTTCCTTATTACAAGATTATATAGTTACTCAAATGCTCTATAATTAGAGAAGTCTATAATAGCCCGCCCTGCCTTGACTGCAAAACATATATCTTATTTCCAGCAATTTTCATTAAAGAATGTTGCATTTTATTTATAAGAACTTTATTTGAACCTTGGACAAAAACCCTAGCCAAAGAACACACACATCAAGGTAATAAACAATACATGGCAGACCTTAGGAATACATTTATAAAAATTAATAGGAACCAAAATGGTTTTTTATGAAGGAAATGTTGGATTTAGCCTGCGAAGGACCTGGTGATTAAGAGCTCAGAAAATAAATAGTAATTGCTTAGAGTTATTTCCAGTTCAATAGAAGGTTGCTTAATATATTGTCCCCATTAATAGGCAGGTATATGGGTTGTGGTATGATCACTGCAGACCAAGCTCCCATTGTTGCAGAGTATTCTGAGCCATGCTTGGTTTTCCTTTCATTTATTCCTGTTGACAGTGATATGTCCCACTATGAACTATTAACTGGCCTCAGTAAAGGAAGAATTTAACTGTCCTTTCATTTTTTTCTCTTAGAACTTCTTTTGCTAACATTGTGGTCTTGCACTTAAATGATTTCACAGTTCTCCTTCTTGAACAAGACATTTTCTTTCTTCCTTCTTCCTAATCCCAAGAAGCCTAAATAAAGGGTGAGACACTTTAAAAAAAGTGATCCAGCACAACAAAGTGATTTCAGCTGCTTTGTGAACAAAACATCTTAAAACATTTTCTAATGTGCACCAACAGGGATTTATGCTACCAATGCACTGCACTAACCCTGACAGACAGTGTAAGTGTAATAGTTTTTGTAAGATGTAGGCAGTTTCAATCTGCATCAAACTTTGGTTTTTAATTCTCTTTTCTTTTCATGGAGAAATACAGATTTATTTAGGTCTTTGAGGAAGATCCCCAAATCTGTATGAATGATTATATTTGGCAAATGTATGGGTACTTCTGTTATTGTGGATGTCTGGAATGGTAGGGTCTCCTCCTTTGATCATGTGTTGGACTAGAAGACCTCCAAGTTTCCCTCCAATTCTGTTATTCTGTTCTGTATCTATTTAATACTGAACAATTTAAAAACATTTCAGTATCATATAATTTAATATAGGTAGTCCTTGATGACTATGTTAATTGGAACTGGAAGTTCCATCACTAAGCAATTAGGTAATAAACTGTGACCTCAAGTGACTACATTGACTTACAGTTACAACAGTTCCAGTGCCAGTTGTTAAGGTCAATGTCACTTGATCTCTTCTTGTTTTATTTTTTAGGAAGAGAAATTCATTCTGTCTCCATCTTTTCATTATGGAAATTTAAAGAGAGTGATGTCAGGTTGAATTAACCAACTATAGTAAAACATTAGTAAATGAAAAAATAGAATTGAAGCAGCATGGTAAATATTTTATATACTGTGTACTTAAACTTTCAGCTCACTTAGAAAAGAGCATATAACATTCTTATAGTCTGTAAGGTATAATCTACACTTCCCTATAAACAGATTGAACAGAACTGAATGGAATTTTATTAGAAAATATTTCAACTATAGTGCCCATTTTTTAAACCAATTACAAGTTTTCTTTTATTTTTTATTGACTTTTTTTTCCTGCCTTGTGGCTTTTTAAGACAGCGTGATGGTACTAACAAGTAGTTTATTGAACAAACAAGTATGAAAGACATTCATTGATTCTAATTGTCTGTCATGAATATCATGAGGAAGCATTTCTATGAATATTATCAGGGAATGTTTCATCCCACAATTGATCTTTTAGAAAGTTCAAATTAATATCTTGTCTAACGATGATGAGCCTTATCAATTGAGTGATTGCCAACATTAAAAAAGGAGGGAGGAGAGGATTAAAATGTGTTGTCCCTATTAGATTTAAGTACTTATGGCCCCAAATCAATCAGATCATAAACTGAGTAATGTTATTTCTGCCAAAACAATCAGTCAGGATTTATAATATATAGCTTTATCTGCTGAAAAATAATAGTATCATAAAATTTATAAAATCTAGCACTAATGTGTTGCATACTGTCTGTGTATACTTTTTCTCACAATCTTTCACTCTTGGACATGATAAGTAAACTTATAAGAACAATATTAATAAAAATATAGGTCCCATCAAAACTTGAATCTACATTTTTATTAATATTTTCTTATTTTATCTTACTTACTTACTTACCAATCATGGTGTATATCTAATATGCTAAATGCTGTATTCTATTTCAAGATGCCCCATAAGAAATGGCATTATTGGGATAGCAGGAATATGTAGATATAAAAATATGCTTAGTTTGACTTACTCATTAATTCAGATGAAAATATTCAAACTATGTGATTGAGCTGCTTAGAGCCATAGTTAGGGATAAATGTATTTTATTGTGTTTATTATCATCTGGATCTCATTTGTGAAGGATGTATAATTAGAGGATAGCAGTGGAAATAACAGGAGCAGGAAGAATACCTTGCTCCAGAAAAGGTCGAAACAACTGATTATATGTAGCCTTAAAAAAGGGAAACTGACAGAGCATGATTATATTCTTCTAATATAATATCCTTAATATTAACAAATGAATTGCCACCTTACACTTAGATGCAAAATAAATTATTAAAAATATAACTATTAGCATAACTATATTCAGAAAAGCTACTATTAGCATAAAAATAGAAAAAATATAAGAAGACTTATAGGCAATATAATTCAAACAGCAGGAATATAATATGTTAAAATAATAGACAATACATTAATTATAGCAATCTCTCTTTCTCTGAACACACACACACACGCACACACACACACACACACACATGTATATTATATTTAGTGTCTTCCATGCATTTGAAGTAGAGAGCAATAATGTTCACATTTAATTTACAATGAAGTATGTATATGGAGATTCTCTGTCATCCAGGTCATAGTTGTCCCAAGAGTTCTTTTTCAAAAGGCCTTTCTTGGTTTTCTTTGAAGACGTTTTGCTTGTCTTCTTAGAAGCTTCTTCAACTCTGACTGGATGGTGGGAAATGGAAGGATGTATGTTCCTTGTAGACAGCTGGTCATTTGCATTCTTTTAGAGAGTCATTGAGGCAACCCAGAGGTTTACCTGTGTTGTCAGGGTCACCTGAGTGATGCAAATGGGTGTGGAACCACTTTTGTGGAACCATGGAAAGGACTGTGATGTAGACAG